CCGTTTAAAGAAAAACATGCTACTTGTAAATATTAAATATTTGAAAATAATTATATTATATATTATATAGATATCGTTATCTTTGTTTATTACTATAAATTGAATTCCACAAAATCTGAAACCTATAAATTATTATTTTGATGGAAATACTATTTTAGTCGTTTCGACGACGCGTCAGTGAACCTGTACTAAAATATAAATAATATAAATTTACTATAGTCTATTTTCATGGTGCAATATTTTTTTAGTTTGAATCGTTTGTCCGCTCTATCATATTATGTTATACTTGTGGTCTTGTATGGTAGAAAAAAAAAATAGGTCCGCGGTCCGGTTCGGTCCGGTCCACAAGCTTTTACAGTCCAAAATTTATTAGTTCGGACCGGCAGCCGGTCTCGGTCCACTCTAATAAATTATTTTAACATTTTCAGTCCGGTCCGGTCCCTAAAATTACGGACCGTGCAGAGGACTACCGTCGTCTGCGTTTATATGCGAGTTCGCAGATAAAAAGTATCGCAGAATTAAATAAGTTTTTGAAAAAGGGATTGATATTAAATTATATTAAAAATATTAACTAAATATTGTATTATGTATTAAATATAATTAAATTTCCAATAAAAGGGTTATTGTACGGAGTTTCCGTTGAATGATTTAAGTCTCTCCGAGATAATATTTACTACGATCCGCCACTGTAGAATGTATAAATCACTGATTGCAGAAAGGAGACATGTCCACAAAACCTATTTTTACAGGAGACACATCAATCCATCTAGGCAAGACTTATTAAAGAGGAAGGTTTAAAAATGAATACGTTACCTTGATACTCGATTTTCTGAATTTTTTGTAATGGATGAGTCCCGTTTTTACACAAAATATGTATTTAAGGCAGATAAATACGAATCCGTAAAAAAATAAATTTCGCAAAAAGTGGACATGTCCCCTACTTGCAATTAGCGATTCACGTAATAACGGTGTTTAAAAATAAACGATAATAACTCGTGTTGCTAATTGTTTTTATCGTCTCGTACGGACGTCGTCGACGACGCGTGATGATAAGATTTCTAAGCGCTCCACTCGGTTACATCTCTGACCATACACATACGAACATTGTACACTTACACTAGTGGTACTACGTTTACACGGATTTCGACACTTAGTATTGTTTTTACACAATTACAACCAATATGGTAATATAACAACAAGGAACGTGTACGCGAATCGTATCAATTCGGTCGATTATTACCGCACACCGGCCAGACCGAAATCGCGGTTATTAGATAATAATAACGTAATGAAAATAAAATGTAAAACTGTTTTGCGATAATATGTTTTTCAATAAACACACGTAACTCGTGTATGTGTAATATGCGTATGTATTTCCATTGTTGTTGTAAACGTTGGTCGTTTTACTTTGATAACGGCGCAAAGTTATGACATGAGAAGTTACGTAAGTCTCGAGTGCGCGAAGGAATAAAAACAACAGCTCGGCTGATAAAGAACATACATCGGTCTGAAAATGACGAAAGTGTTGTTGACGCGTGGACAAGTCGTGTTTACTTCGTTCGACACGTCTATTATACATATTTTACTCTCCGTATTTTGTCATGATTTTATATTTAACGGTAAAAATCGTGGTTATATTTTCTTTTTACTATTAATTTTATATCGTTTCAAGGACACCGCATTTTCCAAAAAGTGCACAGCCGTTGATTCACAAACCAGCACGTCCATATCTTTCCGTTCGCATTCAAATCGTATACGTTAAACGAAGGTTTTATCGATTGTTAACATTACTCGTCCGGTTACATAATCGGCTACATTATAATAATTTAATTATGTATGGATTAGTGAACAAAGCGGATTATTCTCAGAAACAGCCGACGATTCTTGACGATTTTCACGGGTGGGCCGACGACGGAGCAACAATATTTGTACACCCGATTTTCAAAGCTCTAATTTTGAAAATGTTGTAGTTATGACGACAGTAATATTATGCATTAGCTCCGGGAGGCATTCGATTGCGATTCGACAGTTATATAGACATACTTGTAACGCGACATAATTTGCGCGATCGTATTTAACAGACAAAACAAAAATTACCGATTACGATACCACTGCGTTATCGTTTCCGTGATTGTTTCGGCAACACTGCCGCGGTGCACAAGATTTTTCCGTAATCATTTTCGATTGCACCGAAAACCCCATGATAACGCCGCGGTAATAATATCGCGAGTAGGCACGCATCCAAATCAATCCGGTCGTAATCTTCACACGTCGTCGACTGTTATTATTGTATAGGAATGCGTTCACGACGTGATATTATACAATTGCGATCACATCCGACCCACGGGCGTACACACCACGCGGAGAGAGAGAAAAAAAAAGAAAAAACAGGAGCAGACGAAACGTCTCGTACAATCGAGACCCGCATGCGTATTAATTAGGTTATTACTTCTTCTATATATTATAATAATGTACCGCGGTCCCGGTTATTGTTATTGTGCGGTTATGTACTCGGGTAATGTACTTATCGTGCGATACCCGTACCGATGTTGCGGTACACTCACGCGCAACGAAACGATCTGTGTTCATGACATTCAACCGTTTTCACCTCGGACGATAGTTTTTTAAAAGGTCATATTAATAACAACGATTACAATATGCGTTTACGAACCGTTTACGCCTTTTACCGCACGTGTTAACTCGCACGCACACACAAAACGTGTAGTCGTGAAACTATTATGTGACAATGTGTGTGTTAGAATATCGTGAGTACGTTTATTGCAGGGGAAAAAGAAAAAAGATTCGTACCGAACAAAAACCGCGCGCGTGACAAGCAAACGCTACGGGCGGCCTTGCTCGGTTAGAACACGTACATTTCCTCGATCTCGTTATCCTTCGGCGGAAAGACAGAGAGATCTTCGTAACGATCTATTACGTCGACGATACGTACAATGCGTACTTAATATTTACTTAGTGCTCGATGCTGACGTTTCGACACGTATGCTTTGATTTCGCGCGATGATCCATCGTCACGATCTTTCCGTATCCGTAGGTGCGGACTAGAATAGGTACAAAACAATATAATAAACAGAAGCGGGTTCCCACTTCCTGACAAGTTCTCCTGGAAAACACTTATCAGGTTACCGTATAGCCATGCGAGACCTCCCTTAACGGACACATTTAAATGCACTCTAAATAACGGAGGCTTTTATGATATTTTTGAAACTGAAAATTGCTAACGTAAATTTTAGAACAATTGTGGAATACCGGAATAAAAGTCTACACCATTCTGTTTCATTTTATTACATACTTTTTTACACAGTACAGTATATCTTATCCATCTAGTCGTTGAAATACTATCGCGTCGACGAAATGTGACTAATTCGTTCCCGTATACATTTGTGTTTGCGATTTCAATACGAACGTATTATTTTTGTCAACTTTGATGTTTATCATGTATGTATTTAATGGGTGTAAAAATAACATTCCTCCCTCCGGATAGCGGACAAAATTTCAGCCGCCGGAAGTGTCAGGTATTTAGGGGTTTCGTTGTACACGCTTTCCATCGATGCAATCGATACAGTCGAAAGACAACTGTCTGCTGCAATCGCAACCGCGCCCGTTGGTAGTGTTAATCTCGTCGAACATCAGATGATGCTGTACCGAACTGTTAACCGGAGCTGGTGACTTGTACAGCATATTTGCATACGCGTAACGTGTACGTCATCCAAGCGCTCGCGTACCAACGAGTGTTTTCACGTGCGTTCCAATGCTGTCCGCACGGGCCCTGCCGATTTCTGCGACCCGTCGTCAGCGCCGTCGCAAGTGTTCGTGGGGTTCGGCTCCCGGCAAAGACCGTACGATTTACTCGCACCTGAACATACGTCTAAGGGCCCCTACGAATTACTGATTAATAAAGACTGAAATCAAAACGATAATAATTGAACTCGTTACACGGATTAATCGCGCTACCAATGAGCTACAAAAATATTCGCGTGTGAAACCCCCAATCTGAAAATACGTTCTGTCACGCGACTTTTAGACGTGGCGTTCTGCGGCGAAGTCAATCACTGACACCGTCTGCGGTGCTTCTGATGGTTCGTATTTTTCCATTAGCAACGCTGCTTAGAATTATAGACTAACTAAGAATTGTGTGACCCTCCGGATCCGTTTCGAGAGCGGAGGACGAACAGTCGCGCGCGATCGTTTACTCGTCGGCCGAGCGTTTGCGGAAACCGGGAGGGACCGGGTTCGCGTTTCGGACGTCGCGGACGGTCCCTTGTTTCCGGTCCCTCGCCGCGCGCGTTCTCGACGAGCCGACCCGGGAGCGCGGCGGCACGTGTCTGTTGCGAAACGGGATTCCTTCGCCGCCGTTGTTGACCACGTGCCGTCGTTTTACGGGTGCGCGTGCGCGACAGCAACAACAACATGTCCGCTCAAGGTCACCTCGCGATATTCGATATTTGCGTATTACGAAATAACACCGGACAGCGTTTACCACGTCCGCCGTTGCGTCAGCATTCGTTTCCGACCGAACGAGTGCAGTACGGTTCGTTCTCCATTGCCCGCCGCCGCCACACGAGCACTAACTCAACCTTCTAAATCCGGGTCGCCGTGCAGGTGCAGAGTCGGCACCATTGACATGCACTGTGTTAGATGCATATAGCGTCTTTTATCGCAACCTTCCGCTCCTCGAAATATCCTCATACGATCTTGCCCGATCTTATCCCGTGCCGTGAACGGAAACGGTTCCGCACAACAATCTACCCATGATTATTCAACGAACGAAATGTAGTTTTAACGTTTCACAAGTCCCGTCTGTTCTCTATTCCGAATGTCCTTCCCCCCACCGGAAGGTTTTTTGCTACTTTCACGCGCGCCCTCATCCACCTTCCTCTCGACGGAAAACATCCGCGTTGCGCTAAAATCTATATCATAAATCTCGTTTGCGCATTACGGCCGGGCCTGACTGATCGTCTCGTGTTTGTTTCCTTTGGCAGATTGAGAAATGGTAGCGGACACGGCTAGCAGTTATCATCATCAGAAGAGTCAGCAGCAGCACCAGCAGCAACATCACCATCAGCAGCAGCAGCAACAGCAACAGCAGCAGCATATCCTGCAGCAACACCACCAGCAGCAGCAACAAAACGGAGCCGGCGGCGGAGGCGGCCATAACATGCCGCAGTACTGCAGTGACATGGAGCAGTCGAGCAGTATGAGGTACGACGATTCGGTGTCGCCCGGACCGGAATCCCCGGGTCCCGGAGAACCGTACCCGCCAGGGTTCGACCTGTCGGCGCACTTGCAGCGCAAGGAGTTTTTCGCGCAGCGCAAGCAAAGGGAGTTTATACCAGATAACAAGAAGGACGAAAGCTACTGGGACCGGAGACGGCGCAACAACGAAGCGGCCAAGCGTTCGCGCGAGAAGAGGCGTTTCAACGATATGATTCTGGAACAGAGGGTGGTTGAGCTGAGCAAGGAGAATCACGTACTAAAGGCCCAGCTCACCGCCATCAAGGACAAGTTCGGCATTAGTGGCGAGGCGGTCGTCAGCGTAGAACAGGTAAATCAATACGACCAACGTAGTACGGCTTAGCCGGTATAATGTCACCGAAATGTGATTTTTCCATTGCGGTATCGGGGAGTTCTCGGTCGCAAAGTTTATTTTCTTCTTCAAAATTGCCGCCTTTAAAAAATTATCATTTAACGTTTTCGTTCGCACCACCTCCGAGATAGATTTTAACATCGACGGAAGTTCGCGATTGGGGACCGATTAAGCTTGTTAATATTGTAATACGTTCCCTTTCCTCCATCGAAATGATCGATGTTGCAGAACGTTTTCAAAAAATTATCAATTTCATTGCAAACCAGTTTCAAACGAAATTTTTTTATTTCAAATTTTTTATCCAACAACTTGAATATCATATTAGAATTTATAGTACTCTATCGTATTATTATTTTCATACGGTCCATAAACACAACAACCTTGCGTGATAGTTTCTAGACATGTGTTTAACCGATAGTTTCGGAGAAGGGAATTCGGCAAATAAAAAAGCTGATGTAAAGAAAAAAAGATTATGTATATTATTTAATATATTTCAAAACATTTCTAGTAGTGGGGAAATGGTAAACCACCGATTTTCCATGTATGTATACGTAACTTCTGTCGAATATTATAATATTTTATCGTTTCAAAAAAATCTCGCAAACGAGATTTTATAGTGTTGATAAGGTCAAGTTATAATGGACAAATATTTCGAGTTCTAGAAGAGTAAAAACGAATTTAAACTTAATGAGGCATTGACGAGGGTGAGGGGGGATAAAATTATACTCGAAAAACGCTATTGACATGCTTTATCACATAGAAAAAATATACTCGTTTCTAAAAGGTTAAAAAAAATAATAATATTAATAATAAAAAATAAAAAATATATACACTGTATAAAAATAAACATGCCGGTATCGAATATACTCCGTAAAACTTTATATTCGATTACAATACGAAGATAAAATATAAATGTTTTCGGCTCTCCTCTTTTGTTCACCATAAAACTGCTGTGCAAGTGTCGAAAAACGAACGGTGTTACCTGTTAGTTAATCATAACGTACTACGTTTGGCTACACAGATATATTTCACTAGAGCGGTACTCACGAAACTTTCGATGCATCTAGTGTTGACAGAAAATCAAATCAAATCAAATTTCGTGAAAAATTATTTTGTTCTACTGAAGAGATTTTCGCAACACGGGTTCATGTATTGTAAACTAGCGGTCGCCAACCTATTAGAAATCACTGATCACTATATTTATAACTATAAATTCTACGTACCACTATAAAGTTTAGTGTTTATAGTGTTTATAATACAAGGTTTTAGATTTTTATTCAGTGATTTTAAACTTACAGTTAATTTTTTTATAAATTCAGTTCCGCTGATAAGTCTTTTACCAAATAAAAAAAATACATTAGTAAAATAATAATAATAAAAGATTTTTTTTCCTCGATATTGATTGTTACATTATTATATAACATTGTTGCTGACTACCATATCTTCTCTATCGTCGTCCAAGATACCAACGGTTAATATAGTTTTGAATAATGTTCAAAAATTTCCTCGCGGACCGCTAGTAGTTCTCGGACCACCGATTGGCAATCATTTTGTAATGATCAACGTGACAACGTCGGCATACACAATATCCGGACAAAAAAAAAAAAAAAAAAAGCATCGTAAAACGGCAATGATGTCGCGATACATGCGATTTTTAAATTTTTTGGTTTTTCGGTTTTTTTCCAATCTAAAGTTGAATATATTTTTTTTCAATTTCACATTCAAGGCGAAAATTCGAACAATGCTCAGTGCGTGTCAAATAATCGACGTGTGGCTTCGAGTGAGGGCAACCGTGTCCGTGTCATACGTCCGTCTCGCTCTGTAGTATAACGCGAACGTACGTGATTCATACGAATAACACACGAACACTTGTACATGTAACGCGAACAGAGATATACGTACAAGGTGATACACTAACGTGTTTACTGTATTACGGCGGTACAAGTTAAAACTACATCATAGCCTCAACACCCCCACCTCTACACCGGATAAAAATCGTACGCACAATAATATCAATATATATTTGTGTGTGTGTGTGTGTGTAAAGTGTGTGCGTTCAAGTGTGTTAGTATGCGTGCGTTTAATGAATTACGTCATATCATATAAATGTATAATTGTCTGTGTGCACGTATTATAATGTAACACTAAAAAAAAAAACATTGTAGAACGGTTGACACTGAGGTCGTTTTTTAGACATGGTGAACGCGGGTGACCGTGTCGCGTGGCTTACTACACGATTTATAAATACAACTATAAATTATATTATTAGTTTTATAATTTTTTTTTTTTTTAATATCCTTATGTAATACAGCTCAAGGTATGCATGTGTACTGCAGTCGTTGTCCAACGATTTAACACGCGGTTTTTTTGTTTATTTTATTTTATTTTTTTTTATTTTTTTTTGTTTGGTTTTCGTACTACGGGAATGATTATTACACTATAGTAATAAAAATATTATACTCGACCGTGAAACGATTCGTACGTTCTAATTTGAAGAAAAAAAACGATAGTGCGGATTGGGTTTGACGAAAACGGTCGACGAATTCCCACGCTGGAGCGCGTAAAATAAAAATCAAAAAAACTCTGATGATCGTCTGTCTCGTGGTTAGATTAGTTTCGCATTGCAGGGTCAGCCAAGGGGGTTTCCTTCGTAGAGATCCATCTTGAGACCTGCGATCGATTTCGTGTCCGATCGATTAACGTGCCGCCCTGAAACCGCATACCGATCGTCTCGGAACGTTGAAGCGTTAAAAGGGACCCGTCCTCATAAGAAAGCTTTTGTTGCCGATCACATCGAGAACTAACCACGTACCTACCATATATGATTGCAACCGTCAGTTTAATCACCCCGTCATTGGTTTATCTAATAGTTAATTTTTAAAAATTACAAAAATTACAATCCGCTATCGGTCGAATATTGATTAATCATTGTATGATCGAAGCTCGTGTAACTTTATACTAACGGTGTGGTTTTTTTTTTTTGTTTTCTTGTCCCGTCCAGGTGATGGCTTCTCTACCGACCAACGAACAAGTGCTGAGCATCACGAAACGGCCTAAACTGTCGTCGTCCAGCTCGTCGGCCACGTACTCGCAAAACGGCAACGGCCCGATACCCACTTCGGTCATCCACCAGCCGGTGCAGTCGACCACGCCCAAGATGAACGGCTCATTCTACGCACAGTCAGACTGCAGCAGTCCCGGCGAACCGCAGCCGCAACAGCAACAGCAGCAGCAGCAACATCAGCAACAACAGCAACAACAGCAACAGCAACAGCAACAACAGCAACAACAGCAGCAGCAACAGCAACAACAGCAGCAGCATCAACAGCAACAGCAGCAGCAGCAGCAGCAGCAGCAACACCTCCACCATCAACAACAGCTGCAACATCAACAGCAATCCGACCGTTCCGGCGGGGGACTTCCGATGTCCGTGGCAGCGGCCGCTGTGGCCGCGGCCGCGCAAGCCGGGTACCCGTCGTACCCTTTCGCGCCCGTGCTGCCGCCACTCCAGCCGCCGTCGTTCTCGGCGGCCGCAAACAGCGTGCTGAACCTCAGCCGCCGGCCACCGTCGCCGTATGAGCTGAGCAGCGGAAGTGGCGACGACACGTCGTCCTCGTGCGTGCCGCTGTCCCTGGCGTTCGTGGCCGCGGCCGCAGCCGCCGCAGCCGGCGGCAACCCGGGTGCCATGATGGTGGGTCACCACCCGCACCACCATCATCATCATTTGCAGCACCGGCTCAACGGCAATGGCATGTTAGCCATCGTGAACGCGGCCAGCGCCGGCGCCGGCGGCGGTAGCAACGGTACTGTGGTCCACGGCAACGGTGGTATCACCGGCACCGTAAACGGCCACGGCAACTCGATCAACGGCAGTGGCAACTGTTTGCCGCTAAAGCTCCGGCATAAGACCCATCTGGGCGATAAGGACGTGGCGGCCACCGCGCTGCTGTCGCTGCAGGCCATCAAACAGGAGCCGGGCAGCAGCCGGGCAAGTCCGCCGTGGGACGCGGAGGGCAGCAGCGACGAACGCGACTCCGGCATCAGCCTAGGCGCCGAGTGGGGTGTTCGGCCACCGTCCGTGGCCGCGGCCATGGCCGGTTGCCCGTCTACGTCATCCGCGGCCGCGGCTCCGCGCGCCGCCGCCATGCAATCGCCCGCCGTCACGATGGGCTGCGAGCCGGCCGACGGCGCCGTATCGCACGCCACCGCCCCGACGGCCGCGGCCAACGGTGGCCCGGACGTTGCGACCGCGGCCGCCGCCGGTGACACTAGGCTCAAGTCGGAAGTGGCCAGGCTCGCGTCCGAGGTGGCCAACCTGAAGAACATACTGTCGTCCAGAAATACGGCGGCCGGCAGCCCCGCCCCGACCGCCGCACAGTCCACCACCGTGGCCGTCAACTGATCGCCGGGTATACTGTTGTTATTATTATTATTATTGTACGCGGGCGCGTTACGGGGTTTCGTAAACGCGCGCGCCCATCAATCGGTTTAATAAAATTAATGAAATCGTTCTCGTCAGACCCGACGACGCAATATTGTTATCATTATTGTTTTATTATTATTTTCATTATTATTATTATTATTATTATCATTATTACTGTGTCTTACGTTCCCGAACGTTTCGTCGCCCACCGAATTGTTAACCTGTACTGTTATATTAATATCCGATCCTCGTGACTGGAAAATCGTGAATTTCACGTCTCCCCGTTCGAACGGAATTCAACGCGTTGACATTTATAATGTTTCTCGTGTCCGCGTGCGGTTGAAATCCGGAACACGATCGGTAGGCGTTCGCGGTTATCATTACGGTATCGTTTCGCGGTGCACACGGGAGATCGCCGTTGGAAGAGACGATAGAAACACCAACGCGTGCGCAACGCAGAGACGATACCGACGTGCAAACACGTGGCGCGCGCGCGTGTAAAATCACGTCCGTACGTATTTTCGGTAACGCCTAAAGCGTTTCGAATCGCTCGGAGAAAAAAAAAAAAAATGAAAAAAATACCCGAACACGCGATCACGTAGATCCCACTCAAACTTCGCCGCGCGTCGATCCCCGAACTTGATCGGAAGTCCCCGTCGATCGCACCCCGGATCGTTGCGCTGCCCTCGGAATCGCCGGTCTCACGGAAACGGGAAAATCAAAAAAAAAAAAAAAAAATCGTAAAAATCCGTCCGTTTTCGCCTGGGGGTGGGGGTCGGACGTTTCCGTCGGCTCCGGCGCGATAGATCGTCGGCGAAACGACTTTTTTATCGATTTCCGTCGTTCGACGGGGCACCGCAGCAGTAAGTCAGTCATACGGCGTCCGGGGCGTCGAAAACGCGCAAAACAAACGCTTTCGAAACGTTCTCGTGCAGGTTTTCCGTTGACGTTACTCGCCTTTTCGACACGTTTCCGACGTAAAACGACTTGCGGTTCGCTCTCTCCCTCGCCTCACTGTAACTCCAAAAGCGCCGATCGGAAAAATGTACCGTGCGCCGGCGAAAAACGTTTCGATATCGTTATTGAAACGTTTGTTTATTTAATATATTTTTTTATCGTTTTTTTTTTTTTTTTTTGTTCGCTCTTGCCGCCCGGGACGGTGTTGGCTCGCAACGTTTCTATCCTAAACAATAACGTGTTTGTGTACATATTTTGTAATATTACGGCGCGAGTACGCTCGCGTGTGTGTACTTAAAAATGGTGTTGTCGTATTTTATTATTCTTACGTAATCCGATCGATCGAAATAACTATTGTTACAATGTCGTCGAATTATATTTTGTACTGTTTATCTGACTGCTAATCGTGTTGTACAAAGAAAACGAATTAAAAGAAAAAAAATAATTATTATTATAAAATAGTCTGTGATAAACGGTCCTAAATATCCCTGTTTTTTTTTTTTTTTTTTTTTTTGGTTTTTTTCGTTTCACACATTGATAAAAATTAACATTGTAATTAACTAATTAAAAAAATAACGACGGCGGAGGAGAAAATTGTATTCAGAAAAAATGTATTTACATCATTGCATTACTATTACCTTTTTTTTTTTTGTACATTGTAATTTATAATACAAATTAGTTATTATATTAATACTATCATTATTATTATTAATAATGTAATCGTAACTTGTATGTTTAATATGTAATGTACTCACGCGTTGTCTAATGTTAGTATGACATAACACAATATTTATTTTATTTATTCTTAACGTACGGTTATTATTATTATCATTATTATTATTATCATTATTATTATTATTATTATTATTATTATTATTATTATTATTATTAT